ATATGGTCGTCGACGCTCTCGGGAGACAACGACACCGGCTCTGGGCCGGCGGCCCCTGGCCTTCCACGCTGCATCGTCAAAACAGCATAGGAACTGTAAGTTGACAGATTAACCAGCGTGCCAGTGCGACCATCATTACAACTCTTATCTCGACAACTTAAACTTCGATAACGTTGATTACTTCATATCCTGTAATTGCGTCTCTTCCTTCATCTTCCCTATGAATCCTGTATTTGGTATCTCGAACCTTAGAAACTCATAATATTCGAGAAGTCAAAAGAAAAAATTCATAGAATAGCATCGCAAGATAAAATTATAGGTATTGTTATTCGTTATAGAACTAATATTTGTAGTAAAAAGCTCGGAAAATATAATGTCAATGGAACACGGAAAAATATTGTGAAATGGTTATTATTGACCAATCTTGTACGTGAACATATATGATTAATTAGCTAGTTAGGTTTGAGCAGGATTGTCAAAGATATGGTATGAATAAGTGATGAATAATGACTTACAAATTAAGTCGTAATGTGAACGGAAGTCTAAGAACAATGAACACTGAACAGTTAACACGATTGTAAATTATTTTATTGCCATTTGAATGACTTAATTTGTAAACTAGAAACTGTCACAAATTATTATTTATTGTCAATCATTAAACTATACTGTACGATGTCGATCATAAGTATTAATTCGAAAATAGTAGTAATAGACAACAGAACGTACTAGCTTAGTGTAGCGCCTCTACCGAGTTTTACTGGTCAAGAAGTTTTTATGATGTCGTAAGCTTCCGCGGCCAGAGTCATCATTGATATTTATTTTATTTATATTTTTATATTATTATTATTATTATAATATTTATTATTATTATATTTTATATTTATATTATTTATATTTAACTGTTTATATTAATATTTTGTTTTAATTGAAAATTAGTTTCAATCGCAGTCAATCCTATGAATTAAGTTGTACCGAATCATATAATCGCTGAAGAGTATAGTAAAACACATCCTTTCACCACTGTACGAGTATTTACTCGAAGATGCATTGAAACCTGATATCATACATATATGTTATACTTACCTTGCCGCTGCTGCTGCTACTGCATGATGATGATGATGATGATGATGATGATGATGATGATGATGATGATGATGGTGGTGGTGGTGGTGGTGGTGGTGGTGATGGTGGTGGTGGTGATGGTGGTGATGATGATGGTGATGATCGTGATGGGGATGATGATAGTGCATTCTATTTCCTTTGGATATCGGTGAATTAATATCTACTTCATTGTACAACCATTATACACACATCCAAGAACTATCTCCTACTTGTCACCACTTTCAATATATTTTTACAGGACGATTCTATGACAACATATGGATCACACAATACTCCACACTACAAACCATCAAAAACCAGTGTATTTCTACATTCTTCCGAAATCTTCTAGAGAGACGACTAAGAATTGTGCCAATTGCTTTGTTTGACGAGAGAGATTGAGTGAACTATTGATCACTTCTATATGTGTCGTAAGTCACCAAAAGCGTGTTTACTTGCGTTTTTAGATGATTTCTTAGAATCGTCTGTATGGATCCGAAACAATCGATCAGTTTTCCATAAGGCGACTGCGTCGAATGACACCTCATATAAACGGTTGGTGGACCGGCAGTATTCGATTACTATATAAAGATTATTATTATTATTATTATTATTATTATTATTATTATTATTATTATTATTAATACTATAATAAAGGTTTCTCTGTAAGATAGGGAATCCCGAATATCCGTTTTACAAATGCTTTATGTTGACAAAACTCCTAAATATACATTGTGACCAAGAAATCAATTGCCATATACATTATGATTTGGGGAGTCTAAGAAAGGCAATAAAGAAAAGCAGTCAAATACACAAATAAAAATACATACATGTATCGTAAGGTAAAAACACGAAGGCTTACTCGGTTTATCTCACTCACTACGAATGATGCAATTTGTTCTATCATTGATAATGCCACGCATGCATTAGAAACTTCCAATAAATTCCTGAGTTGCGTACACACGGAAATTTATCAGCAAATTTTCATTGCAAGAGTAGTATTTAATTATCCTATTCTACGTATGAAATTACCTTCGAAAACGTTTCATAATGTCACAAATATTAATTATATTGTGTTCGCACTCCAAGTGCACACGAGAGCGCTTCCTATGATTGATGTACTTTGTGATTGGCCAGCAGGGAGAAAGTGGTAAAAAAGTTATGCTTTTGGGAAATACATCATATTGATTGATGCCTTCGGATTTATATATTTTTGTTAATTTCATGAGTGGAATTGCTTTTCAAACACTAGAGTGTGTTTCACATCAAATCATTGAAATTTGATTCAACACACTAGTGTGGTTATCCTTGCAAACGACTGTTAACTGAAAAAGGCACTTGACACGAACTTTCAATAGTTTCGAAAAATGATTATCTCACTCGTCATGAGCACTTATGTTAGAAATACTTCGAAATGCATATTAATTCACATTATTTTTTTTATTCATTCTGGAATGAACTGAAGCAGGTCATGAGTTATGCTAAATGTACAAAAATGTGTTGATCATTTGAACATCTTACAGTTTTGAAAACTCTGTGAAGAGCAGGTTTTCCTCCTACAAATAGCTAATTAAATTTCTTCCATCATCAGATATCATTAATGAAGTCAGACGTAAGTAAAAGATGGGACGATGGAAGTGATTGAGACCATAAAGAATAGAGGAAAGGCGGTAGATCGTTTGAAATAGAAGGCATTCGAATAACTATGAATATATAGATGATAAATCATGAACTATTATGAGAGTCTGAACGACATTTGAAAGGTGCGGTAGAGGTGGGGAATAAATGTTCTCAGTGTGAAGTAAATGTTGAGGTACAGACGTATAAACAAAATGATGTAATTTCCAAGGTAGTAATTTCCGTGGATAGCGTCACTAAGTTGCATGCCAGTGATGGCGTGTTTAGCCGCTGTTATCTTGACTCTTCGGTCTGTCTGGCAGTTGGATATCCCGTAACTGGTCGCAGTGGTCATAGTGACCATCATCCGTTTCCTTTTGAGACGACAGCTTCGGATGCGCAAAGTCGGTAGGAACATAAAGGCGCAGTTAACTTCTCTCGATTAGTAATCTCGGTGTGTTTGTACTTCAGCAGCGTTTGCGAGGAATTAGCTTGCTTTCCCAAGAAGCGATCCCATCTGCATTGTAAATTCCTTCGTATGTGGAAGCTGAATAAATACAATTAAGGAAAGAGCATGTGATTTGCTTCAAGTACAAAAGAACGCCTCGCCAAATTAACGATTGCGAATTTCAGATACGTCTTCACACACCGACTTTGTTATCAAAGGGTTTACTGCCAGTTTCAGAAAGTAAGTTTACTTGATCATAGAGACCTGATATGTTGATATATAAGAAAACAGTTCGACACTTAAGTGTACCGAGAAAATCTCACGAAGATTTTTAGAAAATATTAAATCTTAAAATTAAGAAAGGATATTTCTCATTTCATCTTTCCTGAGTGTTATGACATTTCAAAAGGAATTGGCTATTAATAAACTGAAAAATTATCATAATTATTGTCTATTGGTACTCTCTACATTAATGCATTTTATCGGTTTTTGTAATAGGTAGTGTAAGATTTAGAATCACTATTCAATGAGAACAAGCTCAGATTAGTACACTTTAAAGCAATTAAAGATAAGTTATCTACTCTTAATGTTTCTAACGTTTTCTGTTAGGCTTACCACTCAAAGGATTCACGTAAAACCGTAAACCTGTAGGCAAAAAAGCACCTTAATGTGAATATGAAGATAAGGAAGGTAGGTAATGACCCTTTAGAAGGTAGGAAATGATTAGGTAAGTAGAAATGTGTGCGGTGCAAGTCTAGACGGGCTTTGGGATGTTAATTTCAGTTTCTTCGTTCACATCCAAGATCAAATGAACACTGAAATTTTATAACGCAAGCGGACGGGAGCCAAAACGACTGAGATCCATTTCATGGTCAAGTCTTTTTTATTACACAGGAAGCAACAGCGCCACATTTGCATCTTGTCAACTACACTTCCCAAAGTGGCAGTAACAAATATCCCGCTTTTCCCTGATTAGATTTACAGAGTACTCGAGTACAAAAAGAGAAAAAAAATGAGAGAACAATCCAACCCACTCTGGATCGATCCCGTTATACATTAGACATTCGGGATCGTCAGTTAAATACCTCTGTGTACTAAAATAAACCATTTCTTCTCTCGAGCCCATCGAGTACTCCCTATGGAGCCTACAGAAGAAATTTCGAAAATACTTCAGTGTTAAACGATCGCTCATTACATATTCCGTCCTACTTCATTACATATTCCGTGCATTATCTTCATGTAATTATTATCTTTAATAATTAAATATTCATAATAAATAAGTGAATGAGATAAAATTCTAAATACATGCAACAAGAACTGAAATGGTCCCCACACCATTCCGTTCCGTGCGCAGCCCCTTCGCTCCCGGAGCTGGCGACGACCGCCGCAAGGCAGGGGCGTCCTTGCCGTGCCTTATGCCTCGTTCGCCGAGGCCTCCCCGCGCGCAGCAACATATTTTACGACTTTCGAACGGCACCCCCGCGCGCGCATCGTTATACACCCGCGTTCACCAATGCGCTTTACGGCCGCGCCATCGTAAACGCCACCGCCGCCAACGCCACTACACCACCACACCGCCTGCACGGCTACCACCGTCCGGCCACCCGCGACGACGTGTTCATTAAGGCTCCAAGGGCCGTAGGTCAGCTCTGGATTGCTGCTCCCCACATGGACTGTACCCGGCAATCAGCACACGATGCAGATTTTTTTTCTGTAGATGTGAAAGTTTATTGTGAAAAGCATATGACGATGCAATACAGCAAAGCAGTCGAGAAAAGGCATGCTATTAAATGTGTTCTGTATACGACTGGGCGGTGGAAAATGCTGATATCTGAGACAAACTTACTAGATAGATTTCAAGATATTCTTCAAATCTATTTCCTGTGGACATTAAATAGATTGCATTTTCGTAGCTTATTTATTAAAAATCGCGTTGCTGATGTTAACTTCTCACTCAGATCTCCGTATTGTCACAATTTCCCCCCTGCATTGTTCCGGTCCAGTCACTGCATCATTTGTCATATGCACACGTTAACACAAAAGACGTGGAATACGTTGAATTCTGTTTTGATGGATCTACTTTAAATTAATTGCCCTCGCGGTTTACCTCACTGGTCAGCGTGATTGCTTTCCATGACGCCACCCCGGGTTCGATTCCCGGTCGGGCAAGATTATAGTGTGCAGTGTCCTTGCAATATTCTAGTATGTGTTGCTGTGTGACGACGAGAAAACTCAGTTTTCAAGTTGAGAAGACCAGAATAAGGCGTAAGGATATCTTCGTGCTAACCATCTCGATCAGGTTTTTGTCCAGTTTCTCTGATTCATTGAGCAAATGCTGAGGTGGCGCCTTGTTTTGCTTCTAGACGTAAATATAGCTTCACTATGCGCACGTCTTGTTGAACTCTCCTTTTGCTTGTAATGGTAAGATCAGAGGTAAGGGCGAGTGGCTAGTTTGTTAGCAATGCAGAAATATCATACTTGCAATCCGTGTACCGATGCAAATAAGTTTTCTATAACTCAGAAACGAAAATGACTATTTTTCAAATATTGCTAATATTGAGATTTTTAAAATTTATTTTTATTTATTTATGTTAAACTTTTACTCATTTTTCAACTATATATAATGAAAATGACGGGAAGGAATTCTGGAACTCAAGAAAACGTGCGCAGATCATCTTTCCCCCTACGTCACATACAGTTTTTCCTTTTTTTTGTCGGAATAAATATAAATGTAAATCTAAAACCCACAGGTACCTCTTAAACCCATGGCCAGGAGACCGGGATGCTGCTGGTAAGCCCTATCCCGTTCCCGGGCTGTAGCTTCATGTACAGACAGACATACTTTAAATGTATTAACACAAACTAGTGCTTGAGTCTAAAATTTCAACCTGTTGCTTCCAACAGATAAAACCCCCCACGCCGTTGACAGTAATCAGGGTGTCCTGAGAAGAAATGACGACACTTCAAATCTAACTTTTCAAGTTGTGTAAAGAATCTTCTATAAACATACAGTTTTTCCTCCATTAGCGATATTCCCATGATTGTATCGAGTGTGAAGGTGGAGATGATTTTTATACTCTAAAGAAATCTTGAAACATGCTATTAATGTATGCATTTATGATCTAAAAAATCCCAAATACGCCCAATAATATGAAATAAAAATTAACAATATTTCATATTCCATATAAATCTTTCTTGATACAACTTAAAAGAAGCATGCTTTGATTGACAAATATATTTTTGTACAAACATAATACAATCTACCTTCCTGCGCGAGAGAAATAATTGATGCGAATTTCACCTTATGGTAGTAATTTGTACGTCTTGGTACTTTTCTTCTGCCTGGTTTAAAAATATATCAAGAAATAACATATTTATTGAATATTTTATAATCTATAGAAAAGCTAGAAATGCTACCTGTAATAAGATCATTCTAATCAATGAACCTCACAAATAAATAATAGATTCTATGAAAAGATGAAACGTGTTAGAGGTAAGTGTCTATTTTAACGAAATATGCAAAATATGCGTCTATAATTACACGAATATGGACCAAGAGGACAAATCGGCCAATATGCACAAGTTTGTTCTAACATGTTAGTCTACATAGCATTAAATACTAACCAAATGTCAAGAAATTTCACTTAACAACGCCCTGAAGCAACGGATAAAAATATGCAAAATCTTATAAATCCGCTCCCTAGAGATCACAGAGAGCCGTGATTGAGAAATTCTTAGAATGAAACTGCACGCCAAATTGGGAATTTGGCAACCTGCCACTGTCGCTTGTTTTGATAAATGCCATGATTTGGTATCAGCTGTAATCTTTTCTTTACCGGTCTACTTTTAACTACTTTCACGACAATTTTCCGTTAAATGCGATGAATTACATCAACGAGAAATATTTATTAATTATATTTATAGTTTTCGTGACGCAGTGCGGAAAGAGCCTTACTGGAAAAACAGACGAATTATTCATCGTATTTTGACGCATAAAAGAGTTACCAAAACATTTGAGAAAGAGACAGTGATGAATATCTAATGAGTGCAAGACAAAGATCTTCTTAGTTTGTTATTAAGAAGAGTACAACGTGGAGAGTTATCCAAAACGAAGATTAGAACCCTTCCTTATTTTGCAATGTACAATACTGACAACCGCAAAAGAATTGCGTAGGCACATTTTGTACCTTACTTTGCCCGAGCAGTCAGGTGGCAAATATTTTTTTTTTATTTTCAAAATATTACATTTTCCTGGAAAGTTTTTATTTTTTTACATGTTTCAATTCACATGTTTTGCGAATCCATCTTTTCGATGGCAGCACAACAATTCAAACTGGGACAGAAGTTAATTCGACATTTGATTAAAATTATCTAAATGTCTCAATGTCTGAAGTTTGTTGTTTCTCTCTTTGAACATACTGTGTAGTTTTGAATAATGGTATCATTCAATTTCAACATTAGAACCCCAACCCACCTGAATCTGATATTCAGACTTGCCTAAACCGTTGTCACCACTCACCCATTGTAGGAGGTATTGAATAGGCGTCATCCATTTCTTGACGACGTTTATAAGATGTCGCGAAAAAACCTAAAATCAGATAAAGTACACAGAATAAAGACGCAAACGCTGGCGAATCGACGGGTGTCAGCGGGGCCCGCAGACAAATGAAGTCTCGAATAGATTTACGACGACCACCAGCCTGAGGCCGTTTCGACCTCCTCATGACCTCGTAGGCAGGGGACACGCCTGGACAACGCGACGCGGCGCGGCGACCGCGGTCAGCAAGGGAAGCGATCAGTTTTCTTGCCCGCGATATCTAATCGGCGCGGGGCGCGGTTCCAGCGCTCTCCACCTCCCTTTCCGGGCGACACGCGGCGGGCGCTGAGCGACACGGGCGGTGGTTACGTCGTTTTATGCCCGCCCAGGGGTAGAGTGGGAAGGCGAGTTCGCGAGCGGAGCGACGCGAACACATTCGTACTCGCCGAGTGAGTGACGCGGACGTCACTCTCGTTACGACGGGGCAGGCCCGGCCAACCGACCGGCGCCTCCCGACCTTGGCCGGCGGAGCGGTCGTCGCCTTTGGATACACGATACGGCACCGTGTCGCGCGGGGCGCGATCAAAGCGCTGAGATAAGAAGTAGCGGACGCGTTCTGGGCGACGTTTTGAAGAAGGCGAGCTAATTGCGGTTGCCGCGGGCGGCGGGGTGAACGGAGGTGGAGCCGGAGCGGGGCGAGATGGCGTCGAGGAGACGAAGGGGGCGGGGCGAAGGAGGGGTGGGCCGCGGGCGGGCGGAAGCGGAAGGAGCGGGGCGGGGCGGCGCGGGGCGAGCGGACCGCCGGACGGGCGGAGAGGTTGGGGAGGGGCGAGTGCGGACGGGGGCGGTGTTTTGGTGCGTGGGCGGTGTGCGGGGCGGGGCGGATGTGTGCGGGGCGGCAGCGGGGCGGAGCGGTGAGGAGCGGGGCGGGGCGGGCGGGGAGGAATGTGAGGGAAGGCGTGAGGGCGGTGGGGGGGCGGGGGTGAGGGGCGGGGTGCATGTGGCCGCAGCGGGGGCGAGAGGCCGCACGGAAGAGTATGGGCCGAGGTGCGCTCACGCCGGCGCCGCGCCTTGAGAAGTGCGCCTTCTCCAAGGTGCTGTACCTTGTGCGGGTGGAGCTGGTTTCGCAGCTTCCTGCAGTCCAGACCTCTCTCTCTCCGCATACCCTGCAGAACTTTACCCCGCAGGCTTCCGTTGCTGCTGCCGACCGTTGACTTTAACGGACTGCCAACTACTCCTTTAAGTGTTTCGTACATCATCTGTTGTGATTGCCCCTGAAGGCATGAGCGGTGGAACAAGACGAATAACACCATGGAATTATCTCGTTGAAATTACTGTGAAAAGTACTTGCCTTCGCAAGACGTACTGTCGGGGAGTTTTCAACACTGACCCTTCCGAGAACTTTTGTTCATTTCACGCTTTCAAACCAATGGTTATATTCTTGCGAAATAATAAATTCAAATGAAAATATACCACCTAAAACTCAAATTATACTTTACGATGTAAATGTAGAAGTAAATGTCAATCAAAAATATATCATTTCACTTTTTAATGTCACTGTATTATCTTGTTTCTGTTATCATATGCATCAGTGAACATAGGTAATTCTATCAACACCTATTTGTGTACTGTTATTTACATTTCAACATTCTGTACTGTGCGCATATTATTTTAGGTTTTTCAAGAACATCGAGTTCATTCACTAATCAAAGGTGAGCTGAAGAATTGCAGGAGAGAATACAATGAATTGCAGAGCAGACTACAATCACTAAAGCCACTACTACAATTATTAGAAAAAGCAGACAATGTTAACTTTAAACAATGTTAATAAAATTATAATTTGCTGAATACAATTCAACTTACCGACTTAGTACGTTCAGCGTTCTTTTGCGTAATTTCAGGTGAAGTCACAGCAAGATGACCCTGTGAAAAAATAAGGGAATTTTTAAAATAAACATCTTCGATAAATATTGGAATTGAACATACAACGAAGTTAATATTTCCTAAAGAAAGATAATTAATTTACCAAGAAAAATTTGGTAACCATCCTCATTATCATCATCATTATCATCATCATCATCATCGTTTTCGTTAAAAACCGATGAAGCATTGAATAATTTGTTTATAGTTTGCAGCGTTTGCATATTTGATGGTCGGTAACATAGCATCCTTATTACGACGTTTTAGCAATAATTATTAGAACATTTAAACTTGGATTCATTTTCTACCTAATGGATTCAGTCCCGTTAATTGCGTAGTTGTCCATGAAATAGTGGAGTTCTATCTTCAAATTCTCAGATAGCATTTTATGATTAATACTTCATTGAATGAGAAATTGGGTCCAAAATATAATTGCTTAACTAACAAACTTTATAATTAAAAGGATAAACAAATAGAATAGATTAAGGTGCTTTAAGGAACCGTATTATTAAAATAAATGTGCCAGAAACAAATTGTTTCATTTAACATTTCTAATTTTCGAAGAGACATGAAAAAATGTTTAGTAATGACGATGAATGATAGACGAACCAATTACAACAGAACTAATCATATAAAAAGTAGTAGGCCTTGTTATCATTAAGAAATCCATTTCTCCTCCCCATTTGTCTTGTAACTTCTAATACTTAAACACATAATGAAACCAAAGGCTAATTCTTTAACATTCATAAAGTGTGTTTTTAAAGAAAAATAACGGAAAATACAGAAAAAAAACACACTGTGGCTTCTTTTAATTATTGTTATATTCATCACAAATTTTTAAGTTTAGTATGCTAGTGTCAGAAGTTAAAAATAACATTTTTAAGGTTCTTCCAATTTTCTTTGGATACTCTTAAAATATATATGCAGGTTCAGCGAGCCAATTCAATAATTATTTAGTTTCAGGACCTATACAGGTGCGGATTCAGAAAGTATTTTGTTTGGATTTATTTGAGTTCTGATATCCTCTACAGCCCATGAATAGTTTTGAATAATTAAAAAATATAAATTGTTAGCTTAAAATTAAGTCTATTATTTGTGGTGTGTGGTAAAAGTAGTTTGGAAGTAAATACTTGTTTGAAATAAATAAAATGAAGTAAATTACAAAAAGATGTCAGATTTGGCAATCACTTTAGGTGGCTTTCTTTGTTAAAGTCATTGCTGAATCAAATTGCTAAAATAGAGTAAGACTTTTTTATTTAAAAGTATTTTTGTGTAATGCGGTCGGTAAAACAACGAGTCTTCCCCATTTTGTTGAGAGATTTTCGCTTCAATGTGACTAGTGGAACTTACTTTCTGCACTTCCTCTTCCTTCATTTTCCTTTAATGGATTCCACTAATTGAGATAAACAGCAACGTGGTTTCAGGTATAATAATTTGCATGTTTTTCTTAATGGATATACTTCTGTATCATTCACATGGCCTTGACATTGAAGCTTTAGGAAATTATCTTAATCATAGTGGTTTATATAAAGCGTTCAAGTCCAGTGTTCCATTCGAAACAGTAATAATTTTGGTAATTACTTTACGTCGTTTTCCTGTTATAACTTTTCGAGATATATGTTATTCTGCGGGACAAACAACGTTACACTGTTTACTAGAATCTGAATAGTCATGACCTAGATACGAGAATACATATTGTCGCACCCTCTTGGTGTGACAAGTATCTGTGAAACCATACGTATAACAAAATTGCATATCGCTGTTACGATCTCGAACATTGATTTTTCTTGATTTATGCAAACAGAAAGCTGTCTCTTGATCGTTGAACCCGCTGTCAACTCGCTCACAAGAAAAAACAGCTCACGTTGATGTTTCATTTCATCTGACACTCTAGAAATCCTTAGATCCAGTTGGGCTTTCATTCCTACACTTTAAATGCAAATGCAACTCTTGCAGCTGTTTCAGGGTTTCTTGGAGAATTGTTCAGTGTCAAATGCCAAATTTGAATAGCTGAGATTTATACGGCGGACAAGAAAAATATTTTTTATACAAGACAAAGTATTCAGTAGTAAGAACATGATATTGGATAATGGATTGCACTAGTGCCTACCTGTGATCTTGAACCTGATCTTATTGAATTGAAATCTTATTGTGGAAATGTAAATGATCGTTCAATGAAAACTGGAGACTATTGTAGATTTCCATGACAAGCCCTACAGAAATAGGCAATACGTACTTCTCTTTCAAAACAATGGTATTAGAAATATTTGAAGCAATTATTTGAAATATAATTAAAAAAATATTCTTGTACTGATGTTGGACGTTTGCAAAAGCAAGAGAAAGTAACTTCAGGTACGCTCATATTTTGGGTTTAGAAAAGTGGGTTTAAAAACCCGAACTTAGGTAACCACCGATCTGACATGCTATACATAGGTTTCCTGAAAAAATCGCAGTAAATATAATACTACACTGAATTTCCTTCAAATGTGGCATTGCTTCTCTTTGGTTTGAACACTTTCCGATAACACAGTCGGCTCAACATGCAGGCGACAATCAACCCATCTCACCGAACAATCGCCCAAGCGTTTCAAGAGACTAACCTGATAGCGAATTTCGTCGCCTCCGCAACGCAGATAAATTGTGTTTTACAAGGCCATTCAAACACGGTCAGTCCGATTTGGTGAATAGGCGAAACAGGGGAACCGAAGCGGATAGTCAGGTTTCCCGCTAGTTCGAGTGACAAAACACGCCCGTCCAGGTATCCTGCACGATCCCGTCGTTCAGAGCCCTCTCGGATATCATTCGAATATCCCATCAGATGCTTAACGGACAGATCTGGTACTAAGTAAGTTATCTCCGGACGCTGGAATCTAGCATTACCGTTGTCTCTGCAGCGGGAGGTCCTGGAATCGAGCCCCGACGATTGCGGATTTTCGACACTATGTAGATAGTTCGGTCGGATTCAACTGCTGTCTCAAGGTGTATTCTAGTGGTCGGCTGCTGTAATCAAGCGTTCCCCGAGATTTCTCTAATCAGTTCCAAGCGAATACCGAACCTGTATCCTAACAAACGGGCCACGAGCCGCGCGCGATGTTTCCTTCTTCATTCATGTTCTGTCCTCTTACTCAAGCACTCTTACACTTACATGCCCTACAATGCCGCACATGTCGTGAGATCAGCCGGTAGCTTAAGAGCTTGTCCCGGCTGGGGTGCTGCCCCGTTGGGAGTAAGACCCGGAGGGGACAACCCACAAGTCAACTTGTCTTGCGGGAACACCATCCCCTCCCGGGATATACCATTCACTACACTAACGGAACTAATGATATAGTATTACTCGTGCCAGAAACAATCCACCAAACAACAGCATATGTAATACATAGCTCATCGATGCATTTACTCCAAGTCCTGCTTTAACCAAACCCGCATATCTCTCGGAGCTCGTCAGGAAATCTCTTTGAGACTGATTCTCATTTGTTGTGTAGGGGAGGAGCTTGGGTCCGTTGCAGTAGATTACGTCGTCTGGCGGGTCGTGTCGGGTCGGGTCGTGTCGGGTCGTGTCGGGTCGTGTCGGGTCGTGTCGGGT